ATTCCATTTGACAAGGGGGATTCTCTGAGTCTCATTAGAACCACTCCAAATAAACCGCCGTTGGATTTTCACGATTCTATTGATCACCGTTGTCGGGGCCTTAAGAAGGGAAAAGTAATAGACCGGTTGGCTGCTCAAAATGGAGCTATTAAGAACCAAACGAGCCCCAAAAGAGAGGAGCCGCCCATTCCGACCCTCGAGGCGGCGCTGATACTTATCAATGACGGCGTCCCAGGTAGCAACAGCGTTCACCCTCGCCCCCAGCGGGAAGCCGAGGTACTTAGATGGATCCTTGCTCCACTTGCAACCGAAAATCGCGGCAAAGAAATCCGGGTCCGGAACATCTCCCACAGTGAACATCATTGACTTATCAAGGTTGATTTTCAGCCCGGAGACTGCTTGAAAGCAGACGAGAGTTGCCAGGATGTGTAAGACCTGCTCATAGTTCGCCTCGCAGAAGATCAGAGTATCATCAGCAAATAGAAGGTGGGTCACCTCCTCCCTCCCTTCTGCCTCATTCATGCAAAAACCTTTGAGCAGCCCCTCATTCTGAAGCGAGGAAAGCATATATGAGAGAACATCCATAACAAGCACAAATAGTCCCGGGGAGAGCGGGTCACCTTGGCGGAGACCTTTCTGCATAGGGAAGAACCCTCTAGCCTCCCCATTGATTAGGGTAGAGATGACCGGGCTGCACATAGTACCGCGAATCCATTTCTGCCAGATAGAAGGAAAACCCAACTCCGAGAGAACTCTGAAAAGGCAGTCCCAACTCACATTGTCAAAGGCTTTCTCTATATCCAATTTCAGCATCAAACCAGGCTTCTTGCTTTTCCTTCTACTATCCACTAATTCATCGGCAATGAGTCCCGCATCAGAGATCTGCCTTCCTTTGACCGAAGCAAACTGATTATCGGACACTAGTTTGGGAAGAAGATTACTGATTCTTCTGGCCAGCACCTTGCTAATCAGCTTATTAGTGCTTCCCATTAAACTTATAGGCTGCAAGTCCTTTATTTCATCCACTACATCTCTTTTCGGAACGAGACATAGGAAGGAATGGGCTGCACACTTAGGGAGAGTCCCAGATGAGTGAAATTCATTGAACACATTAACGATCTCTCCGCAGAAGAATGGCCAACATCTTTTGTAAAAATCCCACGAAAACCCATCCGGGCCCGGGGCCTTTCCACCATCACAGTCCTTGAGACTTTCCCATATTTCTTTCTCTGTGAAGCAATTTGTCAAGGAGTAGCCCTCCTCCACCGTCAACTTTCTGCTGGTGTATTGAGAGGGGAAGGGTCGCCTATGAACCTATTCCTTGAATTGATTTTCAAAATGCTCCACAATCCCACTTGCCAGCGCCTCCCTGCCCTCCACCACCACCCCATTAATCCTAATGCATTCAATCAGGTTTAACTTCCTTCTATAGTTAGCTGCCCTGTGGAAAAAATTCGTGTTGCTGTCTCCAAGTCTTAACCACAATTCTTTGGATTTCTGTCTCCAAGAGATCTCCTGAAGAAAAAGTAACCTGCTTAGTTCTACTTTGAAACCATCACGAGCAGCTCCCTCATCAATAGATAGAGGTCTATCATCCTCAATCCTCTCCAGCTCGCGAATAGAACCAAGAAGAAGGTCAATCTTCTCATTGACATTACCAAACACATCTTTGTTCCACACCTTAATCTTTCCTTTAAGGTCTTGCAGCCTCTTTGCCCACCGACAGATGGACCCTCTCCCACTGATCTCAGTCCTCATCCATTCAACCAATCCGCTATAGAATCTGTCATCCTCCAACCACATTGATTCAAACTTCCATAGCCGCCGAATTCTCTGGTTACCACCCCATTTAATGATCAGGGGGTTATGATCGGACTCAATGCGTTCCAACGCCGAGAGGGTGCAGTCCGGGAACAAAGTATCAAAACTCGGAGAAACAAATGCCCGATCGATCCGGGAGAAAGAGTCATGCCCAGCCCCTTTGCTCCATGTGAATTTGCTCCCTCCAAGGGGGAGTTCCAGCAGAGCAGAGTCACCAATAGTCTCATTAAACTCATCCATCAGATTCTCACTTCTTCTCACACCTCGGTAGTCATCATGGCACCGAACCAAGTTGAAATCCCCCGCAAGACACAGAGGAACATCCCAGTGGATGCAGAAATCTCTAATCTCACGCAAGAAAGAAAGCTTATCTTCAATCTCCTGAGGCCCATACACAACAACCAAGAACCAACTGATGTTATTAACTGCGTCCTGCAACATGATACCCAAGAAGAAATTACTCTCCACAGAATGAAGAACCTTGAAGCGGGCTTTATCCCAGAAAATTACCAAACCTCCCATTAAATTATATTACTTCTCATTCATGAATAAAAATGTAGAGCAAATATACATATTGACAAGAAACATTGACTTTCTCAACACAACACAATAATCTAATACGAATATTCCAAATTACCATAATATTCCACCAATTAATTAATAAAAAATCTCTAATTGCTAACCAAACTCGGCCACAAGGACCTAAAATTCTATGCATATGTTTGGAGAGCGGTATCCATGAGAAACCTTGTAATTAGGGGTGGCTATACGGTCCGGTCCGGTTAAATTGGCCCAAATTGATCCGGTCCAGTCCGGTTTTTTTGAAAATATAAGGACCAAAGATTGGATTGGATACACTCCGGTCTTGATCCGGTCCGGTCTTGACCCGGTCCGGTCCCAATTCGGTCTTGATTTTATATTGAGATTGTGGGAATTTGAGTGGCCTAAGGCCTAAAAGGGTGAGGAGTTGGTTAAGTTTTGTACTAAGTGCAAAGGTTTGTGACCGTTTATGCAAATTACCCTTAAGTTTTGGGTGTTGAACAGGCAAAAATAATACTTATTTTTATTGCTAAAAATAAAAAATTTAACAATAAAATAATGCATGGTATCTAATGGGCTAACCGCTAACCATAAAAGAAAAGAGTTGAATGGGCCTGACCTACACGAGATTTAGCCATCAAGTAAAACAAATGAACATCATTGGTTTGACATTCTAAAACAAGCTATTTTCTCTAACATAATATATATTATGCTATTACTTTATATCTTAGTGACTAAAATATAATGTATTTTAAAGTTATTCAATGATTCAACATCTACCAACCCAATTAGTCCAATTTTTATCATTTCAAATATATATTATATAATTATTTGATATCATAATGATCAAATTATAATGTATTTTATAGGAAATCGTTTGATATTTGTTAGTAAAAAACTAAACAGAAATATCTATTTGGTTATTTTAAACATTAAAACGATCCTAAACATTTTCAATTCCTTTTGAATTTCTATGGTTTTATTCGCGAATAAATTATGTGCAAATGGCGAATTGCAGTCATCTCTTTTCTTTCACTATTTGTTATTTTCAAATAGAAATTTTAAAAGTAAAGAATAATTAGTATTTGGCATGAGTCGGTCAAACATGCTGAATTTCAGGTTTCGGCCCGTTTTGATCAAGTCTAATTTATAATCACATGGTTCCCTGATACCCGATAAAAATCTTAATCCAAACCAGTTTGGCAGGTGAGTCCGTGTTTACCTCCATTTTCTAGTGATACGACAACGGCGGTTCCCATCTCAAATCGTGTTGTTCGTTCTTGATTTCCTTAGATTTTATAATGGCTTGACAAAAACCAGAAAGCACAATGACGACAAGATTAATGTTTTATAAAGCAAATTAATCGGCCAACGGGCCGAGTAAAAGCTAGCAACGATTGTGAGATGCTCATTTCACGAAAACCGACGGGATATGCGATTTTTTATTCGATTTTCTGGAATTCGGTTTCCTTAAAACGTACTCCACCTCATCATATTACCAGAAACAATATTGTTTCACAAGGTAACAGGTACTTGATTTTGGTTCATAAGGCCGATTTTTGATTCGTTGCATCATTCGTGTCTCTTTCCTACTAAAATTCACTATTTTTATCACGTGTTTCCAAAAAAAAAATTATACAACAATAAGCTATACATCTCATTACATTATCAAATTTCATACATCACCTTCCTCCGGCCAACTGGCCGGGCCCACACTAGTGAGTTACAATAAATAACATGAGTGAAATTGAGTATTGAAAGGTTCGACACTTATCCTCCAAAAACATGCTGAGATTTAGTAAAGTTGGTACCAAGGGTTTCGAAACCGCTGGAAATATGCATTCAGTGAACTCCGAGAAAAATAGCAGGGTTTACCGTACCCCTTGCTATCAAACCCTTGTCAAAGGGGATTTTTGTTGTAGTGTCACTCTGTGCACAGCTGCAGTGTCTTCTTCTTCCTTCTTCAATGGTCATCAACACTCCAGCCATATACTTCATAATATGCCATTACATGGAGAGCTCTGAAGAAGCTCCAAGAAGCAAAAGAGACGACTCTAACTAAACGGAGAAAAAGACATGATACAGACAGAAAGAAAAAGAAAAAATGTCCCCCTCCAAGGTAGCCCCAATTGAGCGAATGTGAAGCTTTCTTCGACCAAGCAAGTCAATCGAAGAGGAGCATTCATCAACACAAACCCTGACCAGCGGGTAACAATTTACTCCGGTCGTCCACAAAAGTTGTTCTTCTCATATCTGGCACAACACTCTTCGTTCCCGTACTGAGCTCCATCTTTGCCCGGGCAATTCTTGCGCATTATTCGAGTCGCTCTGGCTAAGCAATCACCGCATGTGGGACCATGAGCACAAGAAGAATGTATGTAGGCGACTTGAGGATGATGGTTGTAGTAGGCCGGATCGCACTTTGCTCTGACTCTGAGGTACGGTAACACTTGATCCTGCGCGTCTGGGATATCAAAGTCGGTCGGACTACAAAACCATTCTTCTGAGGCACCGCACAGTGGATCGAGGGCAGCTTCAGCAGAGAAGATGACTGTGACGCCGCGGAAGCCTCCGTTGATCATTGTCACAATTAGCAACGACATCAGCACCGTCGTCATTCGAGCATCCAAGCGACGAACCTGCACGCCCATCTCTTTCTCTGTCTGTCTGTCTGTCTGTCTGCCTCTCTCGGTTAGCTAGCTAACTATATGTGTTCTGAGTAAAGCGGGCTAGCTTTATAATATTGTGAGATGGATGAATTTGTTAGCTTGCAATATTATATCTTAGGAGTGGGAGGGATAGACAGCATTCTCATCTTCATAATAAACTAACTGCAAACAAAATTCCAAGCGTAGGAATGTTAGGTTTTTGATCAGCCTACCTACAAACGCTGCCTCTTCTCTCGTTACAAACCCCGGCGGCAAGATACTATACTTGTATAACAATGAAGTTTCATTGGAACATACACACATCGCCTCTTCTCCCGTAGCAAACTCCGGCAAGATACCCTAAAACATATCTCATAGGCAGATACGTATCTTGCACACAAGTACTTGGGTGCCGGAATTGCAATTCATCCGAATAAAAGCATTATCAATGAATTACTATATATATACCGGGATATCCAAATCCTGAGCACTCTTTGATATTGTATTATATACTTCAAGAAACCCCAGTCACGGCGATAATGATAATGCCCAGTATTACCATGATATAAATGGCGGTTACCAGTATTCTCATTTATCACTATTGGTCTTTATAGTGGAATTAATCCAATAAATAGTTTGAAAGTGTGAAGATTATGGATTTTTTATTTAAAAAAATAGGGTTATATATTGATTTGTATACTAACCGATAAATCTCTTACTTTAATATTATAATGAGAAGCCTTTATTTGTTGCTTTGTAAACGGAGTCGGGATTTGAAATTAGGGGTTTGATTAAATTTTTTCCCCGTTTCATACCGACGAAAATTCCCCCCATGACATAATGAAGAAATATAATTAATTGATTGACGAGTATTTTTTTCATATATACACAAATAATCAATGATTTAATTACAAAAATATTAGGTGATAAATAATTCATGGATTATATTCTACCTCTTATTGCAATCAAAATACAATTACGATCACAAGAGCATGCCCTGTAATCAAATTTTGAAATCGATTTAACACGACATCTTGTAAGTTCAAGAAAAAAATATTTCAATAAAATTTTGAAAAAGCACTAAAAAGCAATTAATCATTTGAAATTTATTTAAATAACGACGGTTTAACTACAAGAATAAAAAAAATCTTCATAATTTATTGATTAGATCAAACTTTTTTTTTTTGCATCAAATGTAGTTAAAGTAACCAAAATGATGAGGGGATTTTCTTGCTATATTAAAATATGTATAACGATGAGGGGGTGTAACTTGTAAGGATGAAGTGAAATTTGGCTTCCTGGATTGAACCCTGGCCAATGGATGATATAGAATTAGGAACAAGCAATGCAACCATCTGGACTACTTCGTATAATGGAACATATCAATATTGCATCGGGATTGTCGATATGCACCCTTCCATTACTAGATCGAGTAGTTTTTATCTTTATACGACAACCTGAAGTTGTACATACACTTCATGTTGTGTCTATACTCTCTTGCATAAATTTCGTTATAGTACACACTAAAATTGTACCTTTATATTATGTTACAACTCAAAGTTGTAACCATAACATAAATGAACAAATTTTCTCATGTTACAACTTCTTTTTAAATGTTAATGATATAGCAATAATCCTAAACTGCCAACAAAAAAAAACATAAAATTGTAATATACAATTAAGGTCCAGTTATATTTTTCCGGCTTTACGCGTACTAATTCTAAGTATGGTAAAAAATATACTATTTTATTTCTACTTTTAAGAAATACAAAGAGACGGACGATAAAATAAATTGATAACTGAACTATTATTCTTGTTCTTCTCTTCTTGCCCGGATAACCAAAGTATATATATGGTTTCTTCTATCGTATCTATGCTAAATTTAGTTTTTCCGGGAGTAGTTTAGAGGATCAGATCTAATTGGTCTGCTACAAAGCGAGAGATGGAAGGCTGGAGATAGAACGATGGAAAAGGGGAAGTCAAGGGGTGATAATAAATTTTGATTAAGAGGGCAGATTTTTTTAACAATATCTACACCCGTTCCAGTTCGTCAATAACAAAAGGGAGTAAAATCTGCTACTGAACCAAAACTCGTCAACACCAAATTGAACCAGCTTTGTCTGGGTCAATTGTTTGTTTCGTAGGTACAACTCGGATGGAAATATGACCGAGTTTTTAACAAAGATCACACCTAACCCAACAAGTTACTTACAAAAGCGAGTAAAAGTTGCTCCCGACCAAAAACTCTTCAACAACACTAATTTTTTTATAGGTTTTAACTAAATCCACAATCAACCCAATCCATTAATTAGAAAAGCAGGTCAAACTTGCTCCCGAGGAAAAACTCGTCAATACCAATTCAATTGTTTTCTTGTTTACATGCGGATCATATGGAAAGCGGACCGAATGTTTTAGAAAATGCATACCCGACCCAATTCGTAAGCTACAAAAGCGAATAGAACTCGCTCGCTTCCGACTCAAAATTCATCAACACCTCATTCAACTCACGTTGTCCATATATGGTCAAATTAGGTTGACCATTGATTATGTTTTTAGTCAGTTATTCTACCTTGATGAGCAAATGCAGCTGCATATTTTCTGAAGTTGAATCCTTCCCTTAAAAATAGAACCTTGGAAATTAAAACAATTCACCCATATTAATAACTCAACAACTTTTCTCGGATGGACAACATACACAATAGCATTTCTTAGTTAATTAAGCCCTACAAAACCTTTTCTTCTCATATCTAACGCAACACTGCTCCGTCCCGTACTGAGCTCCGTCTTTGCCAGGGCAATTGTCGCGCATCAGTTGAGTCGCCCTCGTTAAGCAACGAACGCAGTTGTGATCATTGTCATCAGCACAAATAGAATGTACGTAGGCGTCTGGTACTGCTCCTGGAGGAGGAAACTCGTCGTTGTAGAACGGCACGCACTTCAACGGGGATGTGATTTGCGATAATATTTTTTCCTGCGTGCCTGAGCTATCGAAGTGGGTCAGACTACAAAACCATTCGTGGGAGGCAGCGCACATTGGATCGAGAGCAGCTTTAGCAGAGAAGATGATTGTCACAATTAGCGACGAGATCAGTAATGTGGCCATTCGAGCATCCAAGCGACGAACCTGCACGCCCATCTCTCTTTCTCTCGGTTAGCTAGCTGAGATGTGATCTGAGTGAAGCGGGCTAGCTAGCTTTATAATATTGTGAGATGGATGAATTTGTAAGGTTGCAATATTATATCTTAGGAGTGGGAATGTGGGATAGACAGCATTATTCTCATCTTCATAATACACTAATGACAAGAGAATCCAAGCCTAGGAATTTTATGTCACTGTATTTTTTGTTAAACTATAACGGAGAAAACTTAACAGTTGGTATACAAATTAAATATTGAAAGTTGCATGATACAAATGACACATTCGTTAAAGATCGATATATTTTTAGTAGTATTATCCCAATATTAGTTTGCAAGTCATGTGAGTATTGTGGATAAATTTTTTCCCCCCGGAAAAGTAGAGTTATATACTATATTTATTTACTACCTGATAAATCTCTTATTTTAATAATTTCACAACCCATATATAGTAGATTATAATTATATATGGTTGATTAGCATACTTTTTTATTGGCAGAAGTTCATTTGTGATATAAATGGCGGTGTTTATCCTATTTCGACGGTAAGCGTTGCGAGTGTGAGAAACATGGAATTGTGCATATATGCGTACGAGCTTTCCTTTCGTTGTATTTGTTAACCATTTGTATCTTGCAAATGGTTTTGCCTTTTGGCTTTAATAAAAAGGGGAACAGATTCAACGAAAAAAAAAAAAGAAATCATATCATTGTGTAAATCAAATTAAATCTAATTTTTATGCAAAAGTATGTAAAATTGAAATTAAAATGAAAGAGGTACATACATGATACATGCCACTTAGTACCGATAGGGTATTGAAAATTAAGGAGAGAGAGTGCTAAATGGGGCTCTCTAATTATATCCCTCAAATGGTGTACTAAAAATATTATTTTTTGGTTTTTTATTTTGCTAAATAATTTTATAAATAAATGATATAATATAATTTTGACGATGAAGATTGATAGTTGAAGTCCCTTTAGCTTGTCAAATTATTTTTTAATTAAGGAACAACATGCCGATTGATTTGAATCCAAATGTTTCTCTTACAGGCCCAAAAATTGATTTCCTACCATCCTCTATAGGTCCATAATAATTTGACCAAAAGGACCTTCCGTCCTATGCGCAGGTGCAAGGAAAAATGAAATTAAAGGAGTTGTGAAGGAGAACCTCTTTATATGTGTTGTTAGCTGAGTGGATTTATGGATTCGTGGATTGGATTGGTGGATCCATGGATCAAATGGATTAGATCTAATGGATTGGTGGATTGATCCATAAATCCAAATGATATCCAAGACTTGGACCAAAATGTAAAAATTGAAAAGTTTTGATACTAAAATGTCATAATGATAAATTTTAGGTACCAAAATGTAATTTTCCAATGATATTTTTCTTATAAAAATATAAAATTTAGATACCAAAATGTAAAATATACAAAATATAGGTACCAAATCGTAATTTACCATTTGCATCCATCGATTGATCCATGAATCCACCAATCCAATTGGATTTGGATCAAATGGATTGGATTTAAATGGATTGGATTAGGTGGATAATTTGGTGGATGGATTGGATTGGATTCATGGATTTGGATCCTAATTGCCACCTCTAAGTGGAAGACAAAGCAATTCTTGTAAACCTCGTTGATGCTACAACCGGCTCTCAGATTTCGTTGCTGCCGGCTATGAGCTAGACGATCCCATTAAAACAAAGAGTTCCCGATCCATCTATCTATATATATATATATATATATATATGGTGGCTTCTATAGTACCCCGGGTGAAATCCGGGGTACCGCATACCTCGAGTATGTAAACTCTATCTAGACCTCGAATTACCAGGATTTTTGTGTCTGATATTATACCCTAACCCTTAATGAATGAACCCTAGGTCATAATTATC